ACTTTTTTTCCGGTCGTCAGCAATGTACCTCCTGAGCACCTTACCGAAGTTTAAGCGACCAAAGATAAGATTGCCGTAGCGCAGGGGCGCTGGCTCCGGACTACCGCGAGTGTTCTGTTATATCCGTACTGCTGTACTGTGCGGTGTACATTATGGATAAAGTTTAATTACAAATAAGTCACCAACTAATGAGGTTGAGGAATACATGAAAATTATTTCTAAATATGCAATTTTAAATAAATTATCTAACTTTTAAAAGACGTAAATAATTTTGGAACACCTTAGAAACAAGTGGTTTTTCTTGTATCTGAGGAAGGGAGTCTAATTATTCCAGTGCACTGCAAAGGCAATAAAAATGACGAAAATACTCAGAATTATGCCAGTGCTAACAAGACCTTTACCACGACCGACAACGTCGGTGGCCTTAAAGAGTTTGCTAAGCGGTAACAGGCGATGGTATTCGTCTTTGTGATCCACAGAATATAGTTTTCACCAAGAAACAAGAGTATATGTCGCTTACATTCCTATCCAACATACCTCAATCCGTTCTCTGGCGACGTATGGATGTTTGTATTCTCTCTCTCCTCTCTGTATATCTCCTATTATTTTGCAGGTGTGCTTAATAAAGATTCGCTGATTTTTAGGCGTATCCTCCGAATACAAAACGAGTTACCCTAGGCATCATCAAGCGGTTCTCCTGACATTTTCCGATACACTGCAGTCTGCATATAAGGCCAGTCGTAGTATCCTGAGGGCTATTGCGTTTTTGGTCCATTCTGCTCTAAGATATTAAGATAAGGGTTGCCGGGCCTACGCATGTGCATTACTTGACCACTCCTCAGCGTTTAGTAATATTGTGCGCCTTTTTTTCTTGGGGACTATTTAATTTGCCGCACTCAATTCATCTAATGCGGCAAACGAAAATCCACGGCGCTTGCCAACAACTGCGGAGTTCGTCAAAGTTCTATCTTATCCCCTCCCCTCTTCTCCCTCTACATTGACGATCTACGATTGGTAAATGGATGCTTGTAGGTAAAATATGCTGACGACCTGGTTGTTGGTCATCCTCGCAAAAGTCAGACACATCTCCAGGTACTGAAAGGTGGCCTGGATCACGGCTCAGTATGGTCGTTAGGCAATTGTCTTCTACAGAATAATCAGAAGTCAGTCTAGTGCGTTTTTCTATTGCAACTCTCTCCCAGTCCCGAATCCTTAAACATCCTGCCCAATGAGGTATCCTCTTTTCGGTACCTCGGTGTTCCACGTAAATTTTCATTTACTCACCTATAGAAATCCTCTTCATTACAATTCATCAGATTCTATATTATATCCTTCGGTTACGGTCATATCACACACCTTAAGCCCACTCCTGGAGCAGAGACCAAATGAGACCAGCTGGAACATCCTGGACCTCAGATGAGAACTCATTTGATCGATTCATCGATGTAGCGCCGGTATACATAGCCCTACGCAGGCAGAACTGATGGTTCATTGCCCCTAGCCCCCTTTAACTGTAGTTTGTTTTTGTTGACGCTTTTATCTCTAGCGATGGACTCCAGTAAGAGTTCGAAAGCTCAAACGTATAAAATCATGGTTCCGGTGCTCGACGATCCCTCTGTTTGTCTACCTATACACACACCTGGAATGCGAACATTCGCCTCTTTTCGAAAGATCAATAATGCCTGGCTGCCTAAAAGGCCACTACAGACTACTGCAATATAGGTTGAAGTACGAAGAAGCAAAAGTCTTGAGACTTCAAGTAAGTCCCTTTAATAAGCACCTGGGGCGCGGATTAAAGTCGTTGTAGCAATCAGTAAACGGCCGAGAAGGGCGTTCAGCGCAAAAATGCGGCCTGCGCTGTGTAGTATATTACCCAGAGAGAAAAACAATGAATGGAATTTAAGTACCTAACAATGAGTCCCGTCTCGAAAGGTAAGGTATACTCGGGTGGCAGTTTCTGGCTTATTTACCAGCGTCAGTCCAAAGTATCCGCATATATTACAAGCTGCCATGGGACTGCCAACTTTGACTGAGGTCCAAGACGCAACGGTACGAAGAAAAATCGACGATCAGTCCACAATTAATCAAAGTTCCGTCCAGTGTGTGTTTTTCAACTGAAAACATCTACCGTTCCAGAACCGTTAGACACTCTTCGATATTAAGTACATCACCTTTTCGGTACCTTGTTGTTTCCTTGTTATCAGCTCTCTTTATTTCAGTCACCACTAACACTTGTCAGTTCGTTTAGTATCTTCACCACCTCAGATCGTATCACACACACAACAACCTTTAATCCGGAAGTCCAAAATGCCGGCATAATTCTCTCACAAATTGCTTATTCTTCTCCTCTTATCTGCCTGCTTGGTTTACAAAAGCGACGTTCACTTTAAAGCACACACACAAGGTCGTTCGGACTCGTTAGCGGACCAGGATTTACTTAATCGGGTACGGTCATATCGGAAAATATGAGCGTTAATTTGGAGGTTTCTAGCTGTCTGCACTCCCTCTTTCATTTTTATTGGGTAACAGTGTACTATTTATTGAGTTTATGTTACAATTATCGCACAATTTCTCGTTGGTATGCATTAGCATTTAATAATAATTGTATCTACTCTTTCTTGTTTTTGATTGCTATATTTCTTTTGTTTTCTCTCCTGCGCCCTCGTATCTCTCCACCCGTATAACCCCTAATACCACTAGTCCCGTACTATATAGTTCTGGAGTTTTGGGTTTCCGTTGTGAGTCCTATAACAGACTGCTCACTTTTATTGTTCTCCTATTATTTTCTGCTTTGCTTACGAAAGCTACACTGACTTTAATACGCACACAAAGACTTTCAGACTCGTAGTCAGACCAGGGGGAGCAGGCGGATGAAGAGGAGAATAAACATGACAGGAGAAGAACTCACGGCAGTAGGCCACACCCTCGGCAGCTAAAGACAGCTTCTCAACCTTCTTGGGCGGGAAGCTGGCGACTGGCT